TGTGTAAATATTAAATAACTAGGAAAAGGCTAGCCGGTTGAAAATAGGTATTTTAACTTTTATATATGCATATAATAAGTATATTTAACATTATATTATACTTATTAATACTTTCACATATAAACATAATATTACATAATTTGGATAATAATATAATACTTAAACAACTGCCCCTATCCCCCAGAAATGACTTCAATCGATTTTCTTGGTGGCTCATTAAACTATGGATGCCGAAGCAAAAAAAAAAAAAAAAAAAAAAAAAAAAAATACCGACGCGATGGAGAGGAGGCAGAACATAAGGTCCACTGTAAGGACCTTTTCCCATATATCTTTTATGTAGAGTCCGCCTGACTGGATTGGAATGCATCTGGGCCAGACAAAAGAAAAAATAACTTGAATATTTAGTAATTTAAGCCGTGAGTAATGAGTAGCTGAAAATGACGTTTATGTAAAGACAAGATGCTATTAAAATTTGTATTGTTTTTGGGCAATATTTGAGTTAAATGCAACCCTTTCTAGATGAGGTTTATTACTTCTTTTTGAAAAAATATTTTATAAATTCTGGAGAAGTTTAGATTTATCCAAAATGTGTGGTGTTTAGTGACATCTACACGGAAAACATACACTTGGAGCCCTGAAGATGATCTCAATAAAGATCGAAACGTTGGCTCGATAAAGAAAATTTATCCAAAATATTTTCAATATTGGCAATCCTTGAAAACATATTATTAAACGATTACATTTTTATAGGAATTATTTTTTTTAAATTAAAAATTATTATGCTAAATAGCTTGTACCGTCTTCTACACATTTGAATCTAACTAAATTAAAATGAGACAAAAATTGGCATGCTACACGATAATTCACACTTACAAAACAAAAATACAGTTAATAAATAAAATGTATTTGTATATTTATCGTGATCATCGTGATATTTGAGAACTTGCCTTAGGTGGGGTCACTCCTACCGGCCTGTCTGCCGAAATACTGTGTGATTCTGTCCGTTGAATTCGCCACGCCGCGAACGGGACTGTCATGCGCGTAAGTCCGCCGGTACTTTTCCCGTTCTGGACTTGTTGCTAAGCGCCTTTCTCTTGTCGTTTCAGCAATGGAGTCGCTATATTGTCATAGGCAATTTTTCAATTTATTTCACGAACAGGGGCGGGACAGCCGTGGTGCTCGTTGCATTTCGGGTGTTTTTTCCCTTTTTCTACAATACTGGATTCAAATGCGGTTGGTGAACATTTATGGAAGGCAATCTGAGAGCAAATATGGATAACATTACGCCCACCACCCCAAATACGTTCTTTATTAAGACAGTTATGCACATTTCTGTCTTCCACATGCCACTAATTGCATGAAATTTATTTTAAGCAAAAAAAGTTCATTTTGTACCTTGTTAAATGGTAATTGTAAAGTTTTTGGTTACATCTTCTGGGGTAAGGGGTCAAAAAGACATCTCGGATTTTTTTTCGGTTTCAGTCTGGACTTAGTCAGGGCTGTCTACTAAGCCCCTTGTTATTTTCTCTATTTTTCGATGGCCGTCCCACTGTCTTGGAAGGTAGTATACATTTCCGAGGCGTGAAAATCAATATTGATAGGCGATATAGTGATATAGGCAGACAGTATATATTGTTCTACAGAGAAAATAAATCTTATGGAAGAATACTGCAAAAAGGCACCTTGGAGGGAATCTAAAATAATGATCTTCAAAAAAGGAGGTAAAACCCGTTCTTAGAAAAATGTGTTTTTAAAGAAGAAAGGAGAGAGATAGTAATTGAATATATGTATCTGGGTGTTATATTAACACCACATTTATTATGCACACTTCAAAGTAAAAGCTTCCATTGCTAAAGTAGTTTTACACAAAACCTGGTCACGCCTAATTTTACAAAATATAATACCCCTTAAAACGAAATTTACTATTTTTATCGCGTATGTAAGGCTAAATGGTGTGTTACTTGTGTCAGATATGGGGCTTTCAAACTTTCGACATTTGAAAAAGAGCAAATATATATTATTAGAAATTTGTTTGCATTGCCTACACCGACTCCAAATTACCAACTATTTCTGAAAACTGCTGTAAAACCAAATTTCATTTATACATTAAGAGTCCATTTTGAATATGTTATATACAAATCTTTCTAGGATATCAACTGCTGAAGTTATTAACAGCAAAATCTCGTAGTTTGCTTACTGTCATACACTTCTCCAGAACGTATCCCTGACTTTGGATATCATATCCTCTTGAATATCTCATTTATTTGTTCTATTAAATAAAACCAATGCCCACCATCGGGAGAATCGTTTAGAAAATGCCCTTCTAGTGAATATTTTAAAATTTACGAAGAACTTACACACGACACGGCATTCTGACTATAAAGATCTAATCCTGATAGAGCTCCGCTGGCTTTTGAAAATTTGCTGTGAGGTGTTACATTTAAAGTCAGCATTATGGATCGAGCGGGACTCAGGAAAGTGTAATCTTTGCAATTCCCGTGCTACTGAGGACGTGTTCACTTCGTGGCCGAATACTGAATGAGATATGTTTTTCATATTTTGGTGCGGTTGTGTTGGAAAGAGAAAAACTCCTACAAATATGGAATGTATTAGATACTCATATCCTGGTACGGTATAACCGGCATGCTTGGAGATATTGGTACGATTTCATGTGCTAATTTTCACTATAATTGTGAATATAGTGTATGTGTTTCCTCGTTTAAACTTCTTACTTAAGTTTCCCCTTTATTTTTAGTTTGTACGTGAGCAAGTCCATTTTATATTATACATTTTTATTTTATGTATTATTATTTTTTACATTCTATTATAAAATTGAGTTATCGTTATAAAGAACAGTAAATTAACCTGAACCTATGTACAAACATTTCACATTTTTATTCAATTTTTACTAACAAATCTGTTTTATTAATAAATTACAGCATGCTATTGAAACATATTGATGATTTCTTGCAAGGAGTAAGCGATAAATGTCCCAGCTTTTAAATCTTTGAATATATCACTTAATTTCAAGTCGATTCGTAATATTGACATAGCTTTTTGTCAAATTTTACAAATATATAAAAAAATTAATTATGGAAAGTACCTAATATTTCTCACCAGCGGATTTTGTAGGTTTATTTATTTAAATGCAGAACGATTTATTGCTTGACGGAATGCATTTTATTAACACTTTTACATTGAAAAATTGAAATCTTGTAAAAAAAATATTTTAATTAGAAAATTGAGAAAATTACATCAAGGCACATTTAATACCCGATGGAGTTATCGTTAATTCAGTTTATTTTTCACTTTTTTAAATAGTGTCCTTCTTTCTAGAATTCAAGTTTTGTTTATTCTTCCAGCAATACTTATTTTAATTGTAACTTTGTTAATTAATTTTTCGGTTCTCTAATTATTTTAAAGTTGATGGTGTTCGTTGACCTTCGACCGAGTCTGTGGTCACATGTAGAATTGATAATTTTTTGTACGGTTTTATGAAATTTTTCTTCGTGTAATTTATGTAATGCAATCAAATACTTCTATTATATACTTTTTTACTTACTACTTTTAATACTTTTAAGCGGAAAAAAAATGTTCTAATTTTTATTCTTTCTTATTGGTTTGCTGTATTTAGTTGCTGACTTTTGATATAGTTATATAATATACTTATATAATAAATGGAGTCCATTGCCTATCACTGCCGAGGTGCGTTATCTTGGACCTTTCCTGGATAAAAGACTAACTTGGAATCCCCACACAAAGTTGAAAAGAGAAGAAACAAACCGATGTTATAAATTATTGAAAAGACTGATTACCTAACAATCAAAAGTAGATTGGAAAGAAAATTTTAATTTACAAGACAACAATAAGACCTCTCGTGGCGAAGGTTGTGAAGTGTGAGTCAACCAAGGATCCCAAAATTACCAACATCTTTAATCAATTCAGTCCAACTCTCTCACTCTCTCTCTCTCTCTCTCTCTCTCTCTCTCTCTCTCTCTCCCTTGTTATGTGAATAAAATATTGTTTAAATAACGTTAAGTGGTAAATAAGTCCTGGAAACCTAACCTTGCGTAGTTAATTAAAACCTATCATCTCCCTATCACTTTCTCTCTCTCTCTCTCTCTCTCTCTCTCTCTCTCTCTCTCTCTCTTTCTCTCCTCATTCTCTCCCATTCTCTTATTATCTCCTACATCTCTTCCTTGTTTCAATTTTTTCTTTAACAGTCGCGTTTTATCTTGTGCCGTCGTTTATTGAAGACACAGAGAAATTTATAATAAACTTTAAACTTGTCACTTAAACTGCATATTTCGGTAAAAAAAATTGTGTCAAAGGAAAAAAAGGTTACTTAATACTCCCATCGCAAGAAGGAAAGCACAAACAAACTTTGACTCTGCACTCGAACGTTTGTGGAAGGGTTGACAAAATACTTAATGCCTTTAGAGACGAGAACGAATTATTTGGAAAATGCACCAGCATTACTCGCCTAAATAAACAATTCCGAGACCGTTTCTTTACCTACCATGTTTGCACTACTTTTCAAGTAATCCATATTGAATCAAAGAGAAAGTTGTTTTTTAGATAATAACGGAATCATACACATATCGTACATATTTAAATGAAAAACTACCCGAAGGTTTATCACTACGAACAATTTGATAATAAAATCAAATAAGCGGAAAAAATACCCCCTCATCTTTCAAATGTCACGAAAAGGTTAGCTACAAAGCGAACGACTTTGAAAAAATCTATGTTTACTTCTATCTGTTATTTTTCTTTAATTTGTAAATTATTAACGTTAATTAAATTAACTTTAATTACATTAAAGGAGTAAATATAGGTAAATGCAAGTGAAAAACAAATATTTTTAAAGGTTCACCTAAGTCACCTAAGTCTACTGAACTTATTTAGTATTGATTTTTTTAATTTGGACATATATGTACGGGTGAGTCTATGTTTAAATATTTTGTGCATATACAATAAGAACGTTGAAATGTACTTACTTTAACGGATTCAAAACCGTAGATCATCCGTAATACGAAAACGCCCACCTGAAGCGAAAACAACCTGGCTTCTGTTCCCTTCACATGTGTCGTGTCGAATGGTTAAGGCAAACAAAACGATTAGCGCTCTGATATCGGCCGAAATATTTTTTTTCCAACATTGCCGCTGAAAAAAAAAGGCGATAAACAATCCTCTATTTTGCCGGGAGTCGTGAGAATAAATTCCTCAATTGGTTTCATCAATCAGCATCCTTAGGTCAGCATCCAACCACATTGACCATCAATCCAAAATTGATGATTTGCGTATTTTATTTTCAAGGATTGTCAGCTACATTGGAACCGTTAGTGTCAATGTAAGACATCTTAGAAAAATGGTAGTCCACAAAAAAACCAGTCGATAGTACATTGTGATTGGTCTCAAGCCCAACTAAAAATTAGTATTCACAATCCAAAATTTCCGAATACCAATAATTATTGATACAATTAATTGCTTATTTGTTCTTCTTCTTGATTCTTATCAACTGTGTGCAGTTCACATTTATTATGCTTTGCCTTAAATTAAATTACATTGTACATTAATGCATTACTTCTGTGGAGGCGAGAATTAAATTTCTCAAATGTATCAGCAAGTTCATTGTATGTTCTTTTCTAGATGGAAGATTTCAGGCAGTTAAGCATAATGACACATCGTCCGACCTCTGGAGGATCAGCAGAGGTGCCCAGGGCGGTTACAGGACACCTTTGGTCCATCATATATACCAATGATATCTATATTCATATTGCTTGGTTTTGCTGATGATAATCTGTTAGCCGGTATAAATGTAAATAAAATCTCCTTAATGAACTTGAAACATGGTTTAACGATAACGGCCTGAACATAAAAAAAAATCTTGCCCTCGGACCACACATACCCGACGCAAATCCAAAGCCCAATTTTCCCTAAGATTGTATTACCCTCGTGCACATCAGCCCGATGCCACGCATCGCTACCCTACTCTACGCAACGCGATCCCCACTGTCCAGATTTTTGTCGGGTCGCATCGAGTAAGGTCGAAGACAAAAGAACCGGACACTCATATTTTTATTCAAACTATATGTTTATTGCCGTTATATTGAATTTAACAATTTTTTTTTTGAAAGTTAGGAATTAAATGAACCGGTGTTCATTGCTTTCATGAACACGCAACTCGTGATCCCTTAAGCCGGGAACACACTTACCCGATGCAACGCCATGCGACGCTACTCGATGCTACCCGACGCAAATCCAAAGTCCATTTTTCCATAAGATTGACCCACGTGCACATCTGCCCGATGCTATACTACCCTACTCTCCGCTCTGCCATCCCCAATGTCCAGATTTTCGTCGGGTAGCATCGAGTACAGTCGGAGACAAAAGAACTACATGTATTTATTTGTATTTTTATTCAAACTACATGTATTATTGCCGTTATATTAATTACAATATACTTATTTTAATATAAACAAAATTAAGCGAGACCAAAAATTCATTATTTAAAAAAATTAATTCTAATGATTTGGCAGAAAATTGGTCAAAACACCGGAATAAGATTTATTGATAGAATGAATTTAGCTAACAATTTATTACACGGCTTTGCTCATAAAATTTAACCAACAATTTATTTCATAGTTTTGCTCATACAATTACACCATTTGCGTCGAGTAGCGTCAGAACAGGACAATCATATTTTTTGTAGTTCATTTTAAACTATGTATATGTAATTTTGTCGTTATATTTATTACAGCATTCTTATTTTAATATAAACTAAATTAAACGAGATCAAAAATTCATGATTTTTTATAAAAAATTATTTAATTATGATGGTTAGGCAGAAAATTGATCAAAACACCGGAATAACTTTATTTAAAATAATTAAATTTAACTAACAATTTATTACATGGTTGTGCTCATAAAATTTAACTAACAATTTATTACATGGTTGTGCTCATAAAATTTAACTAACAATTTATTACATGGTTGTGCTCATATAATGTAACTAAAAATTTATCACATGCTTTTCCTCAAAATAATGCATTAAAAATAAAAGAGTCGTTGCGATTGTGATACTGATTTATGATACACTCTTTGTGACTGTACATGGCGTGCGCTTGACGTCGTATAAATGTGCCCACCTTACCAAAACGTGGTAAGGCGTCGGGTAGCATCGGATAGCGTGTCGCATAGCGTTTGCATCGGGTAAGAGTGTTTCCGGCATAAAGGATGAATGCATGGCCTGAATATCTGGAACTCGTTTCACTTTTAGGTGTACACATTGTCTACACATTAAAATATCACTATCATTTTACTATCACCGTAAAAAAAATACATTCTGGTCTATTTTATTACAGTGTTTATACTATCAAATATCAAGTAAACCGTTAAATAGTGCATACTTTAGCTGTAGTCATGCGTATATTAGTTACGCCATATTAGTATGCGGTCACTTAGCTTCATCTAAATTGATTTTTTTCAACCAAAGAAAAGCAGTAAGAATCTTTGTGAGTTGAGCTGTGATGCCGGTTGCAGAACTGCAAGTATAAAAATACATTATCTTGTTTACATATTTTTAATTGTATTAAATACTTATTCAGATATCGTGAGATGCGGTCGGGTGTGATGTAGGTTTCAGAAAAACATTTTCTTTATCGTGCCAACGTTTCGATCTTTTATTGAGATCATCTTCAGGGCCTGGGATTTACAAACAATGTTTACATTTAACAAATACATTTAGGATGTGGAAAAGTGAATTTATACAATGCAAAATATATTTTATATTCAAACAAAGTATTTCTACTCACTCAAAGTGTTTGTCTTCTGTGTAATTGTGCCATCCTTGCGTGTCGTGTTGAGAGTGCCAGTGAGATTTTGCTGTTTTATGTTTATATATGTTTGGTTTTGAAGGGGTGGGGAAGGAAGTCGGTATATAAAAGACAATTTTGTGTAAGGCGTCGGCTTCTTTGAAGTGAAAAAAGCCGACAAAGGGGAACAATGTGTTGGTAATAGTTCGGCCAGATTATCCTTTCAGGATTATATAGAAATGTATTAAATACATTTATTTATAATTATAGCAAATTACCTAAAGTAAAGGGTGGTTTTAAAAACAATACTAGGAAAGCATAATTAATAACGCTTCCTAGCAGGCGATTGATTATATGTAATAGTGTTAATTACAGGGCTTTTAAATTTTTCAATAATTTGCTCAACAACATATTTCTTTACCCCAAAAAATATTTGAGAGGAAGATTAATGATCACCAGTTGAGTGTTTCATACGTTTAATGAATTCATTGAGACAAATCGTCATGTGATACGAGCCTATCTTTCATAATATGTCATTTGCATGTTTCTTTACACAATTGCAATCCAATAAAATATATACTTATGTATGTAAATATTATCAGTTTTCTTTGTTGTATTTACGTTCTTTCAATCTGTGAAGTATGAATATGAAATAAACTGTATTACATAATAGAGAATTATAATTATATTTATTATATGCTTATTATAAAATATGCAAGCCTTGCTAAAGAAATGTAAAATTTTAAAGCAATAAAATTTGATTTGATTAAACTATATGTTCTTGACATTTGAAATTTTTCAAAGAAAGTCAATACTTTACCCATATAGAGTTATGCCAACAGTTTAGACTTTAGGTGGTGTGAGTTTCACCGGGCGAGGTTTTCAGCCTTAAAAACCAAAATTGTAAAGGGACAATGATTTTCGTCTAGATTATGCTATTTTAATTCTATGTAAGAAAGCAGAGAGATAGGAATATTTCATGTTTCGCGAACAACCACTTTAATTTGAAATTTCTAATACTGAATTGATTTTCAATTGAAATACATATTTATCAAAGATTTCATTTGTAGCTAAATTCTGCGGTCTTTTTTTTTACCATGCTAGTGTTCTCGGTTTTTAATTGGTAATGGAATGGAAAATGTATAGGAAAGTGGATTGACCCGTTCTCCGCGACATCCAATGGGTAGTTGTACCACAGGAATTACTTTACTTACCCTACACGATACAATTAAATATACAGGCTGTACCCATGGCCATCAGGGAATGCTGACCTTCGCCTATTATTCTCCAATAATTAGACTTTAATATCATTAGCTTAACATGATCAACCTAACGAAAACCATGACAACATGAACGCTCCATTAATAATTCAATTACTCGATAATTTGAATCTATGACCACGCATGCATACAATTTATTACAATTTAGCGTATCCACTACTATATATAGTATACGCCATTCTCCTAATATTGGCCATAAAATGATACAAGTCTTTTTCAGTTTCAATCAATATGCATAAAGAGCAGAATTATCATTTTTTGCTTAACCCGTATATAATTTAAGCTATCTCTAATCTTCCTCGACATCAATATATATAAAAGTGAATGTTCGTATGTGTGTTAATGATAAAAACGAAAACTAACCGAAATAAAACTGAACCGATTTCGATGACTTTCACACTTTGTTTATATCAATGCCGGGCGGGTTTATAAAATGTACACTGGGCAAATAAAGATGGGCGTCAGGATTACAAAAAAGACCCTTCGGGGAAAAAGTACTTTCAGGTAGTCACCCCTTGTCAATGTAATTATAGAGTGGATATGACCATCAGAACATAGACTGCTATACAGATTGTACACTTATCAAAGTTAAAGGGAGCGGCGATGCAGGAATCTACATACCTAAATTAGGAATCAGCATCTCCTCCCCTCTTGGCAATAACACCCCTTTTTTTCAGGGGGAAATCTGGGCCATTAATGTGTGTTGTAGAACACTGATGGAAAATAAAATTAAGGGAAAAAATATTAGAATTTTTTCTGACAGTCAGGTTAGTCTGATTTGTCAACATCTAGACTGGTGTAGGAAACAATACTGCTTTTGTCGTGCCACAACCAGTATTACCTCACTCTATGAACACAGCGAAAGGGAGTATTAGAAACTGGGGTATGAAACAATTCCTTAAGGAGTGGAATCTATCCCCCGGACACGGGCAATCGAAAGAGTTTGTTAAGGTGATTAA